ACCATCGTCTAGAGTCATTCCATCAAAGGTTTTCTCCAAAGTTGGAATTGACTACGCCGGACCATTTCAAGTGAAGCCCAGGAAAGGTCGAGGAGTAAAACCAATGAAATGCTACATTTGTGTATTCGTGTGTTTTACTACAAGAGCTATACATATTGAATTAGTAGGTAATCTTACATCAGAATCATTTATTGCGGCTTTGAAGAGCTTTGTGTCTCGAAGAGGAAAACCAATGGAAGTTTTTCCTAGCTCAGATAATATTGTGCGTATCGTGAAGATCAAAACTGCTAACAGAGTTTTCAAAAGGCCAATGCACAAACTTTTGCCTATCAATGACTAAGTTTTTTCCCTAAAGCATTATAGCATTGTACTTTACTTTAAGTTACTGAATTGTATCAAGGCTTCTGTGCATCTGTTTTGAGAACAATTTAGTTTCATTGCATAATTTCATATGTTTTCTTGTGAATATTTTAATGATACATTTTGCATAATTTAAATATTATTATGATAATTTCATTTTGTAAAAGCTATTTAATTTGAAATGATGTTTCAACACCGGGCGGAATGTTTCGGCCACCAGAGCTCTCTGCCTGTCTGTGAGATATTTTTTTGCAATGCGCAGATTGTAAGCGCACCTCGCATTTTGTTCTTGCATTCTTAAAACCGCTAATTGTAACTCTGTCGTTTTACTTTGTGCTGTGTGTTGTGTTCGAAAGTTTAAACCGCCAAATAAAGGTTAATTTTACAGTTCACTCGCAGTGATGTATTCTTAGGTTTATTAATTTAAAGTTAAGATACTGCTACGCTACATGTGTTTTTGTTCAAGAAAGAAAACTTTAAATTGCATGAAATGAGAAAATGCAATATTATGGTCAAGTTCAATTTTTTTTTTTCATTTTAGGAATTTTTCTAGAAGATTCTTAGCAAAGAAACAGAAAGCTATAAATGTGTTTTTTACTTCTAACTTGATAGCATTTAACCAATTCTGTAGCTCTAAAGAAAATGGCGTACATTAATAGGATCATCTTCAAAGACACATACTTTATTTTCTTGAAGTGTTAGAACATTAAAAAATGGTATCGCATTTCACAACCAGTTATGATTGTAGAAATAATGCAGGATCCACCATCTCTAAATAATTTTAGGATCTTTTACAGATTCTGACATGCTCCACATTTTGATGCTGTTATTTTATGGGAGAACTAAAGACAAATTCATGCAGTTCTTAGTTTCTGATAATTTGAATATGACAAAGCACACATGGGAACCAAAGGGAAGGGATGCTTCTATGGGGGACTTTCTAAGCGAAACTGTTCATATTCACATTATCACAAAATCATGAAAAACCAACCAGGCAGTCATCCCATTTGCCTGGATTAAAATCAAGGACAAACTACTAGGTGGCCTATATGCAATTCTTAATGAATACAGTCAAAAGTCGTTAATCCGGACTCGTCGGGACTTCGGCGATTTCGGATTATTGATTTTTCCGGATTATAGATCATCACTTTAAATCTGGTAAGATGGCATGCAGAAATTATAAAATTAAAAATATGAAATCTGTAATTTATGAAATAAAGAACAATTTATGATCTAAAGGGTATCAAAATTTACAAAAAAAAAAAAAGCTTAATATTTATTTGTTTACCTTTATTAAACATTTCGTTTCAATGTAAGTTGTTTAAGTTGCTTTGTTTTATTGTGATAATACATTTCTCTTTTAATTCCATAAACAGACATAATTTCTTGTTTCAGTTACAAAGTTCCGCTGTTCAAGTCTTGGGTAATTGCTGTGCCGAGAATACCGACTAATTTGTCAATCGAAATTTTTTCGTTTTCAATAACCTCTGTGTCACTTTCCTCACTACCGGAAGCGAATTATAATAATGAGGAATTTGATTTAAATCATATCAAAGACAGAGTACATCGAGATGAAATACTACATTTAGTAAGGAATTATAAGCCAAATAAAATAAAAACATCTGCCCTGAAGATAAGGATAGTGCTGACAGATCAACTTGCAATTCATTGCACGCCGCGGCGTTCCAAAAATACCTTACACATAAAAAACATTTTTATTACTTGCATCGTTAAAAAAAAAAAAAAACCTTTAATCAGTTTTCATACAAATGTTATAAACAGTGGCAGATTTTGCTTTCTGTAAGAAAGAAACTTCATAATTTTGTTCAGAGCAATTGCCATGTAGGCCTGATTTCGCTAATAAAAGTTTTTCTAATGTGTCATCACTAATATTATATCTAAATTTAGTCTTCGTTTTCGCAACAACACCGAAACTTTTCTCACACTCTGCATTACTATGGGGAACTGTCAAGATGGCCAACATAATTCTAGACAGTTCACTATACTTTAAAATTACATCAGCATCTTTCAGTTTTCCTATTAAACTCCACTGGGTGTCAATCCTAGCTGATTTTATAATTTCATCCAAGTTTTCTAATTGTAAACTGCTGTTATGCTGCTGTTGGAACTGTTTCAATATTTCCTTCCTTTTAGAACTCTTTTCAAGAAAATAATAAATATCAACAATGTATTCATACACATTTATTGGTAAAGAAGCTGCCCCTTTTTCAGCTGCTAAATTTAAGGTGACAGGTGGACCTCATAATTTGAAAATCTGAATTTTCCTTTCTTAAGATGCCTGCAACACCAGTCTTCAAGCCTACGGATACTGGTGCATTATCGGCACCAAGTGCTAAGCAATTATCCAGAGGGACGGCATTTCCTTTTAAAGTTTTAATAATTAGCTGTGTTATATTAAAGCCTGTCAAATGTCCTTCTAAAGTGGGGACAGAAAGTAAACTGCACTCAATTTCTGAAGACTCTGGATTAAAAAAAGAAACAACAATTGGATACAATTTTGAATCGGTATTTTTTCTTCTATCCGTAAAGCGACAAAACGGACCTGTTTTAATGCAATCAATAACTGAAGATTTATTTTTAAAATCCATTTCTTTAACAATTGCACCTGTTTTGGTTCTTGCACTTGAGTATTTCTTAGCGATTTCACTATCGGAAAACATTTTTCTAAATAAAGCTGCAGCGTGATCCTATGTATTCAGTGGCAGGGTGTGCTCTAGTAAAAAGGCAGAGAACAGACATTCTGCATTAATAACTTTTTGGTCCTCTGTTTCCGAAGAAAAATTTTATTTTTCGTTTTTTTTTTAAAACAACTCATGTTGTCCTTGTGTTTTTGTGCATGCACATGTTTGAGAACATCCGCCCTTCCACCATGCGAAATCGAAAAATCGCAAATTTATTATATTTCCTTGAGGAAATAATGGAAGGAAAGTCAACTGTGTACGATTTTTGAAACGCACACGAGTATTTCACCTTTCTCGCAGACATAACAGAAGATGATAATTTCTAAAACTATTTCCCGAAGGCACGTGTACTCATACCACTCAGGAAAAAAATGACCGAAATAACTAAAGAACATCCAAATAACAGCTTGCTTTGTCCTCATTGGCTAATATATGCCAGATGACACGCAGTGGAGCAGGATGCCCATTAGAGAACTGGAGAACGACATTTCTGGATACGTATATGCTCTCACTCAAGCAGAAGTTATCTAATTCGCAAGGTTTGGTTTTAGATATAATCTAGAGAAAATTCAATTGCTTTCAGACGTCCAAAATCACTTTTTTTTTTTTTTTTTTCGTTTTTGTTCATATAACAAAGCATTAAGCCAAGTTCCATAAAAATCGTGAGAGAATAAGAAAAAGTTGGGAGAAATATATTGTAAATGGGGTTGGCGGGAGAGTGGTCGAAAATAGGGAGTCTCTCGCCTAAATCGGGAGAGTTGGCAACTCTGTGTCTGCATGCCTCAAAAACTTCAGAGTTGCCTACATATATTAAAATAAACAGTGCACTTTAAAATATAAAGGCTCAATGCAGCTGGATAAAAAAGGAGCTTAAAAAAGACTCGACAGAATAATTTAGGGAAAAAAAAAAAAATTTGAAAGGTTTCAGATTTTAAATTATGTTTAAAGGGGCATTTCTTTACAGTTTTTTTAAAATGTTAAAAAAATGCCCTTTTTTATTAAATATCCTGCTCTTTGCACTTAAACCATAAAATTCAGTTCAAATGTCACAAAGTAATTTTAAAATGAGCATATCTTAAGAATTTCTGATACACAGTTCTGTGCGCTGGAGATAAAAAGATCCCCCCTTCCCGTAGAGTGTTGCCATTGTTCGCTTTGAAATCTTTGAGTTTGTTAATAAAAAATTTGTTAAAGTTTTAGAAAATATAAAATGGATAATAAAACAAATTCCAAATTTGGTCTTCCACATGCCCATATTTGTAGGAGGATTACGTCATTCAAAATTCAATGTCTCTATTTACCGTTGTTTATCACAATGTGAGAAATATACATACATTTATGTAGATTTTTCATCATTTGATTTCTTCAAATATAATGCAGGACTCTAATATTTGGTGGCAACAGTTTGAAAAGTGAAACGGACATTTATAGTGATTCAATGCAAAATCACAAAACGAAAACAATAGTCCTTCAGGGACAAAGCCCCTTTGGACTAAAAATGGTACTGAGAGATTATGGTATCCATAACTTTATATAAACATCCATGTCTCCTTTTCGACTGCCATTGTTCACTCACAGAAATAGCTAAATATGGTAAATTCATGTACATATTATGAATCTGTCAAATTTTAACTACACTTAAAGAAAAGAAACTTATACTAATGTTGGGTATTTTGTTGTATATTTCCAATCTACAGCTTTATTACAAAGAAAATATATTAATATGATATATGTAATGACACTTAAATATTAGTAACCTACTAAAATTTAGTAGTAATATTAGTAATCTACTAGAAGTATATTTAAGCATTTGAACCAAATAACAAATGAAAATGATAAAAATATGTACAAGTTAGCTCAAACAAAAGCATCATAAATATATAGTTGTAAATCTAATTTTTATCAATTTCTAAGATGCATTATAATACTGAGAAAAATTTAAATACATTACATAAAAACTTACATTTCAAAACGTATAATTCCAGACCAATAAGATCCGGCAATAACAGTTATCATGGCAATCACCCATATTGCCAATAAACTGAAATCAAAATTTACAATGTACGGAGCAAACAGCAGAACAGTGACAGTATTTCCCATTTTCTAAAAAAAATTTAAATGAATATGTAAAAACATAATCTAATAAAAAACTTAGTACAAAATGCAGTATATGATGAAAAACATACTTTTAGTCGTTCAGCAGATTTTTCAGATATTATTGACACAGTAATATTTATATCTTCTGCATCAGTATCATTCATTTGAAATTGATCCTAAGAAATAAAACTCAGCATAAGCAAAACCGAATTACCTATATTTATAACTAAAAATATTTAACAAAGTTAAATTTATAACTATAAATAACCATTAAATGTATTAAAAATGAAATAAACATTCAAATATAAGAAAACTGCATGAATTAAAAATTAATAAAAAATAAAATCCTCATATCAAAATTAAAACAAATTAAAAATTACAAATGCATTATTATGCATGAATATGATATGATGGCAAAAAACATAAATTATTATTTAAGTTACCTAAATTTTCAAACATTTATCTTATTTTTTAATTCAAAAATGAAAAAAGGGGGGAGCTATCAAACGTATCTGAAGCAGTTTGCTAATTAAAACTCATATCTTAAAGAATATTAACCTCATCTTTTTATTTTATTACAGAAAATGACAATGTTAAGAAAATTCTGAGAGGGAATTTGAAAAAGATTTTTCAGTTTACATTTATTATTTGAATAAAGATAAAAAGCAAAGTTAAAAATTTTTTTTTAAATATATACTTTGCTTTACTAATACAGTCAAAAGTCTTTAATCCGGACCTCAAAGCTACAAACTTTCTGCACATGCGTAAACGCATAATGCGTTTACACAAGCACATAATACCTTTACGCATGCGCACATGCGTTTACACATGCACGTTTAATGTATAATGGACGGTATGAGCTAAGCTAAAATTATCTAATTCAGTTAATGTTACAGATTGCGTTGTTCCTTAATCTTCTAATTGGACCCGGCTTATTATTTTTTGCAGACTGTCAGAGCAATTTTATAAAAGTAAGCTTGAACTTTCGATTATGTCAAAAAGAAGTTCCGATTCTGGAGCTGCCAAAGGATCTACAATGCGAAAGCATGTTTCGATGTCCATCAAACAAAAAGTGGACTTGCTGCAAAAAATGGATAAAGGCATATCTTTTGTTTCTCTAACCATTACGAAATCTGTTTATCAATTTCACGTTGCTCTGATGGGGGGGGGGCGTTGCAGCACACAATGAACTGGAAGTTGATCTGTCAGCACTATCCTTATCTTCAGGGCAGATGTTTTTATTTTATTCGGCTTATAATTCCTTACTAAATGTAGTATTTATTCTCGATGTACTCCATCTTTGATATGATTTAAATCAAATTCCTCGTCATTATAAATATGACGAATACACATCAAATAGTTTTCCGGTTGCAATTTTCTAATTTTCAATTTTGCGTAATGAATGCTTTACGCATGCGCGCGTTGAAAGAAATGTTTAATAAAGTAAATAAATATGAAGCTTTTTTTCGTCAATTTTGATACCCTTTATATCATAATTGCTCTTTATTTCATAAATTACGGTTTCATATTTTTAACTTTATAATTTCTGCATGCCATCTTACAAACTGATGATCTATAATCCGGAAAAACCGCTAACCCAGAATCGCCAAAGTCCCGACGAGTCCGGATTAAAGACTTTTGACTGTACTATAATGAACATAATACTCTTTATCATAAAATATGTCATTGTTATCTAATACATTAATTCTACTTTTTGATGCTGCTGACAATTAGAAAAAAATTATGATTATCATTTACTGCAATAGGTTTTTCAATTTATATATAATTTCAAAGGTAAAAAAAAAATTAAAGGTTTGTGGTATGTAATTAAAAAATAACTAATGAATAAAATAAAAGGTTTGTGGTATATAATCAAAAAATAAGTAATGAAATGGGAAGAATGCATAGAGTTCTTGTAAAGGAATGTGAAGCCATTCTTTTTGCATAATAATCTGTAATTTTGAAATATACTGGAGACAGAATTTAAGCTCCAAGTTTGAATTCCAAATATTTCCACAAATGTTCAGGAATGTTAATTAGAAACCTGACTGGGCCAGATGAACTGCCCTGTTCATTGTTATGCTCTTCAAACCATGCCTGAATACATCTAGCAGTATAGATAGGAGGAAGAGGAGTACTCCCATCTTGAAATGCAGTCACTCCTTACAGAATACAGTGTGGACTAAAAATGGACATGATCCACCAGAATGCTCCAATACTGAATACCTTTCATCTTCCTAACAACCAGAATAACCAGTTGGGCAAGATTGCACTTCATCCTAACAGGAATCCACTTCCATACTTCACATTCAGCAAGAGGCAGGCCAAAAAGCTTCTCTGACATCTTTACTCCCCAGGTATAAATAAACACGCTTGGTGGCTTAACACTTTACCAACTGCTAGCGGTTCAACAGCATACGCACGTCCGACCGGCCACTTAGCCGCGGATTCTTCATGTTCTAAATAACTGCCAGGACAACCTGATAAATCATCTAAATAAAACTCTCCAGTACCATTTTTTTCGCTCATCGTGAACGGTAATTTTTTTAAAAAAACAGTGTGAAAATGTGGGAGTTTAAGAAGCAATGCATTTAACGCAAGTGAGCAACGTACCAAAATACTAATAATAAAATGCAGGACGATATAGCAAATGGCAATTGTTTATCGCCATGGCTACCGATTGATAGGCTATTTTTAAGTAGCCCTGAGAAAAAAAGCAATTAATAGGCTATCAGTCAATAGGTGTTGGCAAAAAAAAGCCGATTAATAGGCTATCAATCAGTTCAATCCCTTCAATTCATACATATACCATCACAAAAAAATGACAGAGCACAACTAGCATTTTTTTGTAACAGTAAACATTTACAAGCTAAGGGTTCCCTTAATGAAATTTACAGAACCATCACTGGCACTTGGAAATATTCAAAACAACTTAACCGTACATATCCTTCAAATTTTTTACAGCATTTGCTACGCTGTTGCCTTTTCTTATGTTCAAGTAGCACAGCTCGTCAGATGGGCTTTTCTGTTGCTGCCACTTTCAAGATGGGCTATTAAAGCAATAAATTAGGATCTGCACACCTGCAAGCCTGTAGTTACCTGAATGAAGCTGTCTTTGCTCAGTTTAATCACTTGTTTAATCACTTTAGGATATGTTTCAATAAGTCCTATTTGAAAAATGGCATTACTTATGACATAATCCAATATTCTTTTACATATTAAAATATTAAATTTTAAGATGAAAATAAATATAACAATATTTTGTTACACTGTGATTTTTAATTACCGTAATTTCTGGAAGAAACGCCGCTGCGTTTATGTGTTTAAAACTTAAATTTTCAGCGGGTGCGGTGTTTCTACCCATGCGGCGTTTAGGTGCACTAAAAATAAAATATTTCCTATAATGGTCATTGTACATAGTTGGATGGCCTTGTCATTGTGCATAGACTGGTGCTGTTCCCACACAAAAGACCACTCAGTTGCTTTTTGCGAACGTTATTTTGTTTTACATTCTTTCCCTTGAACGGACATACATGCCTTATTCACCCTAAACAAGATCTCAGAACAATAACATTCTTCCCCCCTTTCAATCAAACATTCTCATCAGTTTGAATAGTCTCTCTCCTCTGCCATTCGATGAATCTTCCAGACCCATCCTCTCCCCACCCCTGCCTTTTCTGCAATTTTTTTCAAAGGCAGACACGACTCCACCTGCCTCGAAATAACGAACTTTGACGTATTTCCCCTTCAGCATGAATGGATTTTTCTTGGCATTCTGCCAAATACAGATCCCATCAGTTTGAGTACAAGTACTTGTTGGATAGTTTTTAATTAGGAAGCGGAAAATTTTTGAAAATGTCTCTAAACGGCACAGAAGCTATACATTTCTTACCTTTAATTTATTTTTGAGTTATGGTTTCATTTCATGCATTTTTCTTAACTGGTATGTCATATATCAGGACTTAGGTTGAGTTTTTGCATCTATACAGCCAACGACGATGTCACGCGCAATTTAATCTATTGCGGCATTTACGCTGATGCGGCGTTTCTGTGTAATTTTAATTTTTTTCCCGCCATTTTTCTCGAGTGTGGCGTTTACGCTGATGCGGCCTTTCTTCCGGAAATTACGGTATATCTTAGCAGTATAATTTATTAAGAAAACTTTTAAAATTTGGATTTTCTAGGTAGGCTAAAGAAAAATTTCTTTTAATTCAGACATTAATTTTAAAAAGTTAGTAAAAAGAAAGCAACAACTGTAATTTTAATGAGAATTTAATAAGCATCAGTATGCAACCAATCCAGACCTCGATAAGGAGTTAAATGTTAATGCCATGTCTATTAGCCATGCTGTGCATCGCATAAACTTCATGCACAAGTTCAATTGCTGGGTGCCACAAAAGCTGACTCAGATAAGGACAGACGTATTTGAGCCTGCACTAATCTGCTTGAATAACAATGCAAGCACAACCAGATCATCATTTGTGATGAAAAGTGGATTTACTTCAACAACAGAGGCTGAAAAAGGGATTAGTCTGCGCCCGGTGAGCCCAGCCCGGTGTCGCAGAGCAAAATTTGACAAAAGAAAAGATCCTGCTTTATATCTGGTGGGATTACCGAGGTATTATCCATAAAGATTATCTGGAAAAAAGTAAAAACATTCACAGGTATGGTGTACAGTGAGATACCAGTCTGTATTGATGCTGCTATCAAGGAAAAACATTAAACTGAGTTCCGGCACAAAAAGTAATGTTTCATCAAAATAATGCAAGACCACGTGTATCTGCATTCACTTTCTGGACTCAAATGGGATCTTTTACCCCACCTGCAGCTAAATCTTGCTGGCGCTATGTTCCATTCTGCATAGGACGTCCGAAATGAGGTTTTTCTGTTTTTGGATTAGCGGCCACCAAGTTTCTAGGCTGAAGGCTTTGCAAAACTACCAAAACATTAGCAGAAAATCAAAAATTTGGATGACGATTACTACCTGCAGTAAAGGCACTGCTCTCATTTTTTTTTCTAACTTTATTAAGAATGTTTTTTGGCGAAAAACTTTCATTACAATCAGGTATTTCTGTTTAATGTAGAAATTAAAATGCAAACAATAAATTATTAAAAATATTTTCATGTATCAGCTTACATCTGTAAAATGGAAGTAGCTATTCTAGAATAGCTTTGGAAAGCTATTCTAAAGAAAAATATCTTATATTGAAGTTAATAATGTGCTTATGTTACATAACCTAATAACTTTGTCAACATTTATAGAGTTCACTCATTTACTCAGTGCTCATTACTTAGCGCTCAGATATAAATAAATCTTTTCTAAAAAATAAAATCTTTTATTAAGTTGCATTTCAGCATTTCAACAAGTTCACCCAGGTTTTAAGAAATAAAATTCATAGCATTATATGTTCATCTTCATTTTAAATATAAATTTATAAAAGCTCACAAAATATATTACACAGATAAGGATATAAGGATTAAATTTTAAAATGAAAAAAAAAAAAAAAAAAAAAAAAAAAACGTATACCTGAAATAAATTTGTTATTAAAGTGGCCCTTTCAATTATTTCTTTATCAATAACAGATTTTACTCAACATGATGATGGCCATATCGATGGTCGAAAGGCTGGCAATGAATTTATTTTCAAGCATTCTTTTCCAGTTTTGATAATTCTTTCAATAAATCAAAAATTTTTAACTCTGCCACTGGTTTTATAAATATAAGATTATTTTAATCACCTCTTCCTCTCAAGAAACATTAAAGTAATTCCATTTCATGAAATTTCAACAAACTATTTCACAGCTTCTTAAAGAAAACACTTTCAATTATATAAGTTATGACACAACACAATACATACAATTTTATTAAATTTCGATTTCTTACAACTCTCTGATTGGGTGAAATAAAAACAACTCCTTTTCCCCCTTGGTCTTGAATATTCCGTGCTTGGTCAGCAAGAGTGCAGTTGCTTTTATACAACAACACAATTTTACCTCTTGATTCACTTTCTGGATGGTCATAGCACCAGTCTACTTCTGTATCGTCTTTTAAAATGTGAAATTCCTGAAGAAAAAAACACATATTTGGAAAGAAACTATAAATATACATAAACAACATTAAAAGGAAAAAAAGCATTAGTATAGCAAACAGAGGTATAGAAATATATATATATACAAAAAGTAAGAAATTTAGAACCTATATATATAATATTATTAAATTATTTCATGTTAAAATTGAGACAAATTTAATATGAAATGAAAAGAAAAACACAGCATCACTCATATATGAAATGAAAAGAAAAAAACAAAACAAAATGTCACTCATATACAAATTACACTGAAACGCATCTCTATACACTAAAATCTTAAAATCTATTACCTTTTACAGGGTTCGTACACATTTCCTTACATGAAAATTAAGGACTTTTAAGGACCATCAAAGAAAAAATTAAGGACCTATCAGGAAACAAAAAAATGAATAGAATAAAGCAATTATCCATACAACCGACTTCATGCTTGTAATTTCACTTTAAAAAACTAACAGAAGTGTGTATTATGCACTATTATTAAATTCAACTTAATACTTACCATAAAACAATTTTGAAAATTAAACTAACTCCCTACAAGTTATGAAGTAGATAACATTAAATGAGGAACATAATTTCTTGAAAAACATGTATAAGTGTATTTTACACTAATAACAGTCACTATTTTAGAGATTTACATGATTATTATTTAACTTATTTGATATTTATTTAAACATAGTCAACTACTATTATAATCACAATGTAAGAATATTTTGCAGATTAAAATAACTGATTTGTAAACATACAATTTATTTCCTTGGTTTTTTGAAAGATACTAGAATAATAAACTGTACAATAAAAGATACAAAACATTTGTGCTTTTTTTAAATCTGAAATCTTCCTTTTCTTTTTAACTATTCTTTTCTTTAACTATTTCTTAAGTTCATTTGCTTTGATAAACAAATCAATGTTCCTGATGGTCTCAGCTTTATCTGCTAAAGCATCTACTTCTTCATTAATGTCTTTAATGTCCCTTTGAGGAAAGTTTTTCTTCTGCTTCATATAATCAATTTCTTCTTCAATAATATTTCTTTTCCTCTTTGAATTTTCAGATTTAGTTAAAATATTTTTGTTCTTCTAAATACTGAACTTTTAAATAACGAACTCCACTTCTTGCAGAAGCTGCTACTGCTGATCTCATTTCTTTATTAATTTCGATATTAAGAACACCTCCAGAAAATTTTATGTAATCAAATACTGTGCGTTGAAAAATGTATGATGAGTCACTTAAATTTTCAATTTCATTTGCTTTATTTACAGAGAAGCCCCTTTCCACAGAGGCCTGTTCATGTGACAAGATAAGAATACTTGTCACAGTGAATACTTGAATAGTGAAAATATACATTTTTTTACTATATATATATAATTTATTTCCTAAACAATATAGATTAATTGATTATATTATCTCCTAAGTTTAATTAAAGTAGAATTATTTTAAAAGAGTGAATCCATACTGGTAAGTTATATTTTGAAAGATGTATATATATATATATATAAAGTCCGAGATCCGGACATCTAATATCTGGAATGATCTAAAATCTGGACCTCAAAGCCACCACCAACCAATTGCGCATTAGATTTTTTCCCTCATCATAAAAAAAAATGCCAGAAATCCGATTCTTAATCTTAGTTTGGTGCTAAATAAAATATCTCATTATTGAAGAAATAATTATTTTAGCATAAATTTGTGTGATTAGTAACTTGACTCCATAGCTGCGTATCTGCTTGGCATAATCTCAAACCGAAACATTTGTTAATTTTACACCAACTAATATTTTATATCCTTGATGCCGAAATCGCGAATCATTATTTATTGTATTTTGCTTTCATCACCGCATGTTTATCAACGAATGACAACTTGAGTGATGAATCATGCAGCGATGCCAAAATAATAAGAGTTTATTTATGATTTAATCTCATAGACATTTAAGCTATTTGCATTTGCACATGCCAAACCAGGCTCGCATGCAGGCAATTTAGCGAAGTTAAACAGAAGTTTTTCATTGCAATGACAATGCCCAATCATCAATCAATTAACGGAGGGCGGAATCTGTAGTATGGTTCTAAATCCAGAAATACAGCTACCGATAGTGAAGAAAGTAACAGAGAGGTTACTGAACGAGAAAAAATTTTGATTGACACAGTTATTCGGAATTCTCGACACAGCAATTACAGGACTTGAACAATGGAACTTAATAACTGAACAAGAAATTATATGTCTATAGTATTAGTCTAAAGTATTAGCAGAGAAAACAAATCAAACAACTCACATTGAAAGAAATGTTTATTAAAGTAAACATATAAATATTAAGCTCTTTTCTTTGGTAAATTTTGATACCCTTTAAATCATAAATGCTTCATTATTTCATAAATCACGATTTCATATTTTCAATTTTATAATTTCTACGTGCCATCTTAGTAGATTTAAAATGATCTAATATCCGGAAAAATCTCAAATCTAGGATCGCCGAAGTCCCGACGAGTCCAGACCTCGGACTTTGTACACTGTATAAATATATATATATATATATATATATAATACGGAATGTATATTTTCAGTTAAACTTCTACCCAATAACTTTAGTAATTCATGAAAGTTAATTTTGCGTCTAGTTAATTCAGGAAAATTAGTTTCAATTAGTTGTTTTCAGCTTTAAAAATATTTAAAAAATTTTAATTAGTTATTTTTTCAACTAATAATTGTATCGCCATTAGCAAAAATTATGCATTACTATCAAAAACATAGGTTTAAACCAAATACTTAATTGTCTATTGAAGCTTCAAAACGTATTTCCGAACTTCACTTTTTCTCAGCTAGCGTTACCGATTTTGCCCTTGGCGACCTAAAATCGAAATGGAGCCAACAGATTTCCCGCGAAATCGATAAGAGACCCTCTGCAGAAATAAACTCATAATCCCGATATCCCATACATATAGTATGTGCAAAAGAGAATAAACTCCGTAGAAGGTGATAAAAAATTAATTTATGGCTTAATTGAAACAAACACAGAAATTAAGCTAAGCAAAACCGTGTAAAAAAAACAAATTGAAATGATAAAAAACGAAACTTAATTTTAATGTGAATTTTCAGTGCTGACTCTCCCATTCTAGAAATTTCAATTTTTTCAGACAAAGACCACATTTAAGGATTGCCATCCATCAATATCCAGTCTTTGTAGTCAGCTTGATGAAGGCACAGTTTATTGAAAATGCACTTTCCAGGCATCTCGTTCCTATTGGCGTCGGAAGTGTTGTGGCCTTCCAGGTTGGAATTGCTCTAATTTTGGCAAATATTTTCAGAATCTCCCCCCCCCTTTTTTTTTCTCGAGCACCTTCATTCATTCATACAATTTATGCCGAAATATTGCATGAGCACGTGTCCGGCTCATGACAAGTACGCCCGGGCACATGACATAAAAGTGTCTGGACCGAGTGATAGGAGCAATAGGAAATGAAAAAAAGAGGGGTGACCACAGGCCACAAGCAGAGAATCGAACTAAAGCCCAAGACCAGGAGAGGCAGCAAGGTGTGGAGTGTCAGAGTTAAAAGATGTTCATGATAGGTATGCTAAGGAAAAACATGATATATTAGCAAATACAATTTTATTACATAAAATGAATACAATAAATGAGCATATACAATACAAAATACAAAAGAGTTCGAGTTGTAATACGAAATTTATGTACAATATATACAGAAAAGATGATGTTGCATGAAAAGACTGATTAAGTAGGAAAATTAGTGTCCCTGGTGAGGAAGGCCGCTAATGGTCTGATTTTGATATCTTCAGGAAACACGGTATAGTCGAAAACTTTAAAGTATTTCATGTACGAGCAGTTTCTCGCCTTATCAAAAAATTTCCAATTTGCATTATGGAGGAAATTCTCGATATTCTCTATTTTTAAATCTCTATGTAGAGTTTCATTGGAACCATAAAAATGAGCGTTCGTGATCTGCCTTAAAAATTTGTTTTGCGTGATCTATAATTTCTTGATTTCATTTTTCGAATAAGTCGCCCAGGCTGGAGACGCGTAAGAAAAGATAGGCCGAATAATGGCAGTATAAATATGTCTCTTTCTTCGTAAGTCAAGTTTTGAATTTTTTCCGATTAATGGAATAAGATCTTTGATAGCCGTAACTGTTTTGCCTCTTACTTTTTGGATATGGTCTTTCCATGTGAATTTATTGTTTAAAACAACACCAAGGTAGATAGCTTTGTTCACAAGCGGAACTTCGACATTAAAGATTTTAAGTTTGTTTACAAATGGACTTCTAGAGTGCCTTTTTCCTATAATTATAAGCTGGGATTTTTGTGCATTGATGGCTATGCGCCATTTCGTGCACCATTGCTCAATTTCTGGAATTTTATCCTGCAATTTAGAAATGGCAAGTTCTTGATTGTGAGACTTGTATGCAAGCGCCGTGTATCATCGGCGCGTAACATCCTAAATAAAAATTTGGGTCTGTGCATATTTTAGGGAAATCAGCAACATAAAATATAAAAAGAATTGGTCCCAAAATTGATCCTTGAGCTACACCAGCATTGAGTCTTCTGGGATCAGAGTTGTCGTTACCAATATTGACAAAGAATTTTCTGTGTTTAATAAAAGAATAAATGAGTAAGATCAGGTCTCTGTCAAAATCCAAGGATATAAGCTTGAGAATAAGCCCCTCATGCCAGACGCGGTCGAAAGCTTTCGCCACGTCTAGCATGAGTAAGGCGACACTCTGATGTTTGAAAAGTGCAGAACCGATGTATTCACATAGTCGGACAAGCTGCTTGGTCGTAGACAAATTCTTACGGAAGCCAAACTGTTCAGGAGGTATCTTATCCATGTAAGGCTCGATTCTCTTATAGATAACTCGTTCGTAGTAGATTTTGCCCAGACCGGGCAGTAAGCTAATTGGTCTGTAACCCTCCGGGGAGGTAGCATTTTTACCAGGCTTGGGTAATAAAAAAATTACTTTAGCAGTTTTT